AAACATTCTAGGAAGCAATAGAAGGTAATGGAACATTCTAGAAATTTGTAGTAAGTTCCAGACTCATTATGTATGCTGATGTAATGGTCTATTTATAGACAGTGGGGGTATATATAGAGGAGTTGTTCAGCACTGAGTTCGGATCGGAGATCTCGTTGAATTGTATTGGAGTTTAAGTATCTAGTCATTGGAGTAGTGGAGTTTTACCGCGTTATTGTACTTGATGTTTGCAGAGTATAATAATACCAGTACCAGTTGAAACCTCATCTGTTGGCTCCGTGTTCGTATTTTATCATCGCCGCCAGGGAAGTCTTTCTGTTACTGTTGCCATTTTGGTATTTGAACCATCACACCTGTACTATACCAATTACGGTAATATTACGTTGCGTGTGACATAAACAAAAATACCTTATTATTGATATTCTAGGCAAATTCGTATTCATTTAAGACCAGAATATTTCTAAACACATAATAAATAGAACTTCGATGATGTGCTATTGCAGACCATTTTTTTCAGTTTAGATCCGATATTTTTACTGTTCTGTAAAGTCAAGGACCTGTACCTTAATTGCTGTTTATACTTGATACAGGTTAAACGTTGTGTCGTGGTTATTATTCTATTTTATTATTATTCACTTTCCAGGGCCGCAGTATGTCTGGCTGGTTACCTTACTTATCCTTCTCATCTTTCTGATTGCGGTTATCATATTTGTGTGGGCATACGACAAATGCACAAAATCCCAAAATTCGTAAGAATTTGTTACTTACTTATGTATGTGTTTATTTCACACTCAATACATTTTCATTTCTGTTGCAGGTTCATTATTCTCGTGATTTGCATTCATGCTGGTCGTCACAGTTTCCGTCTACCTATATCAATGACATGCAATCTCACTGAAATTTTACACTGCGTCGTATGGTATTGTGTTCATCATGTATGCACCCAGCAGCTACATAACAAACTCAGAAGCAATTGTTTCACATTATTAACAAGTTGTCTGTATTGCACATATTTTGCTCACAGCAAGTTGAATTAATGAAAATCATCTGATGTTGATGTTATATTCATATATAATAATATTTTAATTTTATTCCAAAGTATAAAGGTGCTAAGTAGAGTATAATAGTTAATGCCACACAAGCGTCACATATCATTATTCACTATCATACTAGGATGAACGGTATGATATTTATATGCACTTGAACGAATAGAACAGTGCTCTCAATACAAATTTGCTGCTTTAAAAAACAATATATAATTTGCATATTATTAGGGAAGTAAAATGATAAATAGAACCGACTATATCCATAGTTTATATCATAAAAGTGTGACTGTACAAATCTTGGGGGATCGCCCATTAACAGAGATATGGCTAGTTGCAGGTTGAAAGACATTTTAGCTATAGGATTGTTGGAACCTTGGGTTGAGTATGGTAA